ATTTTGATAATGAACAGACTGCGATGTAAGTTTGAATTGCTAGAATATGTGGGGTGTGTGCGTGCGAGGCGCCGATGCGATCGAACAGCTGAAACATTTTGCACACTCACAATAAAAACAAGATTTGTGCTTTTGCAAAATAAAGCAAACAAACAGAATGCACGCTGTCATCCTTTCCTTTCCGTGAACTTGTTTATGGAGTGCCATGCCACACTTCTGTTTTAAATCTGTTAGCTTAATTAAGTCAGATATATTTAGCTTTTTTTTTTTATGAAAAAGTGTTTTATTTTTATTTTAGGCCTATTACTTACATAGGCTATACATTTTCCTTAAAGCATCCCATTTTGTCCCAGGGCTTGAAAACCTGTGCCTAGACTAGTTAGGTCCACGCAGAAACTTGCGTGAACGATGCTCTTAGTTGTGGCATCACCGTTTAGTGACATCATTGAATGCTCCGGGAAAATGTATAGTCAGTGTCGGTCACAGCGCCTTTTAATTGCTGTTTTGAATCCAGCAATTATTTATTTACAAATTATAAGCTCTGATTATGACAAGTGTGGTATAAAAGCTTTGTTTATTAGAGGAATATTTGGTTAGCTGGAAAATCTTACATCGCGACCATGCTTTCGGATGCCGTTTGAGCCTATATAGCCTACATTTATGCGGCTTTGTTCTTGGTCACGTATTTCCACAAATTCAATAATATTTAGGCATTGTTTCTTTTCCTAAATCCTCACCATCTAACCCTCTAATTTCGCAGGTTTATTTTATTGTCATTCACTTTTTATCACTGTTTTCGCATCTCTTACTGTGGTAAACATGCGGAAGGGAAATTAAAGATTTCATGGCCACGAATTAAGAATTTGTTCGATGTATTAATTTGTTCCCTCATTTTAGTTAAATCATGGGTTATTTAAGGAACAAAATTAATGAAGCATGGACAGTGGCTACAAATTAATAAGTCGTAGGAACGAATTAACAAGTTGTAGGAATGAACCCTTCCCCCGCAGTGTCCCGCAGCCCTGCAACCTTCACCTAATTGTTTCAAATATGAAACAATTATCTGGGGAAATGACTGTTACTACATTTCTATCGCATTCCATGTTGAAGAACTTTGTGTTGTTTCTATTTTAATGTACTTTTAAAGTTTAAATCACATTAAAAGCTTAATTTGTAATTATGAGTGAATGATGATGCATTTATAGACCGTCACCATCACTCACAGCCGCTCGCACGTGTTTTGCGCATGAGCCGCACGCAGCCCAAAATTAAACTGCTTAATCGACCACTGATAGCTTTAATCGATTGCATCTCATTTCGACAATTAATCGATCAATTAATCGTTGACATCCCTATTGCTAATACTTACATATTTCAGATGATAAGCCATATTTGAGGCCGATGAACGATAGGCGAGCATTTGGATGTCCTGCCCGATGTACTGTATTACCACATAGACCAGCCATTAACAATCTGTTAGTCATGGACTGGGTGACTTCGCCTGTGGAGTGTTTTTTTTTTTCTGTAACTAAGCGACTAATAAAATTTTGGTGGACCAAGCCTCTTCTGGTCGACTAACAATTAGTCGACTATTAGGGGCAGCCCTACTTGTATAACAATTCCAGTTACCTGGTGATACATGTCTTAATAAATTACTTCTCGACAGGAATGCCTTTGTTTTTGTGCTCCTGTTTTACTATGGCACAGAATCCTCTTTTATGTGCCTCCCCCGATAATCCTGTCAAAATATTTTCATAATTTAAAAATACTTTTGTTTTAAATTCAACCATTGGGTTGATGGCTACGGGTGCAACAGATGTGTCAAACCAATGCACATGCATGCAAAAGGAAATAAGCATGTTGGAGGCCCTTTCCCAGCATTTAGTTGAGATATGTCATTCAGAGAGAGCCAATGTAGGTGAAGGAATGCATACGCAGTCCGTTCTAGTTAAACCCACTGGTATGTCTGCTGAGAGGTATGCTGACTGCTGAAAAATACAGCCCAATATCATTGGTGGGTGGTAGGGACAACAGAACATATGTATGTGTGTAAAACATCCGTAGACAGCAGCAATATGCCCACAAAAGACATATTTCATAAGACAGCATGTGGGCAGATAGCTATTGACAGTCAAAAAATGGCACAAAGGCATCATTCACAATCCTCTGATATCAAACTATCAGTTTTAGCTGGATTCAAGCAGCAAGTTCAATGTTTCATTTCAGTTAGTGATGATAATTTTCTTTGATTTGAGATTCAAAAGAAGCAGGCCGCCACTGGCTCAACAACATGCTCCGTAACTCGCTTAATTGGCCTAGAAAATCAAATGGTTCATCATAAAACTGCTGTGCAAATCAATCTAACAGCGAGCTCTTATTCAATTGAATAAGAACGTCTCCCTTGGAGCAGAAA